AAGGGCATCAAATGAATGGCAGTGCTGCCAGAAAAGATTGAAAAATTGGTTCTCATGGTGGTTGAAGGGTGTTTGAGTGTGTTGAAGAGTGTCGAAGAGTGTCGAAGAGTGTTTTTGATGTGTTTAACACAAGGTGGCAAAGTGGCTTACCCCCTGAATAGAACACACCATTTTCCACTCGGTATCTGCAAACTTCTAATGTACTAGACAGATGCGCCAGAGATGCTTAAAACATTAACGCCTAATATATGAAAAAAAAATGTAATATTTTATACGTTAATAGATGACATCTTCAAAGACATCTATTTGATCTCGAAATTCTGGATCGTATGCAAAACATGAGCAAATTACAGTTTTGTCCTATATTTCACATTTTTGTCTTGTTTTATGGCTGACCATAAATAGTTATTTTGGCGTTCTTGTACCAAAAAATATAGATTTAGGTCCGTTGTGTACTTACCTTCTGAAAACTTTTAAAATAATAGGTTTGGATATTAATTCCATTGCTTTAGAAAATGCATCAGAAAAATAAAAAAACACTTTTCTTTAATTTGTTTTCCGAAAATGTTACATTGCGTTGAACTTTGTTTTAGATAGTCTATCTCATGTAAAAATGCTGTGGGACACGATGGGGCATCAAACCAAATATTTAGATGCATCAACTTAAAAAAATCACGTTTAAAGTTTTTAGTTGCTAAATAATATTTAAATTTGGCAACACTGTTCTTGGTAATGTAATCGATTTTTTTTTCTGTAAATATTATTTCACACAATAAGTCATGAGAATGAATCCACTTACTAAGAGGAAATGAAAAAAAAATTAAAAAAAAGTTTTACCCTCATAATTTATGACTTTTGTTCATTCAAAATGCAATATCTCAGGAACTACGCAAATTACTTTTTGTCGTTAAGTGTTTCTTATGTAAAAAAGGATGAAGAACACGATGGTGTCCTTAAAATGAAAATTAAACGACATGTATTATGAGAAAACTGCATTTAAAGTTTTCAAACAAAAATAAAAAAAATTTGGCAACACTGTACAGAAACAGAAGTTACAGATTTAGATTTCTTGTCTAATTTCCTTATTGAAACAGTACCTAATGCAATTTGTAGCTTTATTTGTTCCGGAGATATGAACAAAAGAAAGTAGTGCTTTTCAAAGAATCACGAAAATTGTAAAATGCGCCCCTTGACCGAGGGGTGCTCCGATTAGCATAAAACTTTGGATTTTTAAAATTTGAACTTAAATGAACATTCCCTCCAAATTTGGTCCAAATAGGAAGAGGTCAATTTCATGTGCTGTGTACACTTGGCGCGGAATGACCCATATACAATGGATTTCCACTGAAAACTAGATGTATGAGTGCATGCAATGTCTTGCAATGACAGCGTATGATATACGTGATATACGCTGTAATGTGAACGGGGTATAAGTTACTCATAGATTTCGTTAGTTACAGCTGCTGTGACTCGATAGAGACGCATTGTGAACTGCCTTGCGTCTTCATCGTTTCCATACATGTGTGGTGTATATATTGCGGAACAATGATTTTTCGGAATTGGTTGGAAATGCTATCCATCATGAAGTTTTAGTGTGATAATTTATTAGCTAGAGAATGGTCTTAGAAGAGGGTAGGTAGATAGTTCCGTTATAGTAAGGCAGTATGAAAATTGAATGGAAATTTAAAATGAGCGAAGGGCTATTAATGCGACAGTACAAAGTCAAACGGACACTTCTTTGCCTAACCCGTACGATGTACGCGGAGATTTGAAGCATGTCTTCAAATCTACAGGCAAAAAAGTGTGCGCCCGCCTTTTCTCATATACTGTTGGCTGTGGAATAGTTCTAACTGTTTATTTTTTTTTTTATTTTTAACAAATTGTATCTTCGAAATGACTCCTCTGACATAGCTATTTTTTAATATGTTATGTAAAATTTAATGATCTTTCAATTAAATATATTAAAATAAGAAGTTGTTGAAAATCAAGAAAAAGCATTTGTTACGTATTTTCTTCATACAAAAGCTAATATTTCTGAACGTTTCGTAATTTCCGGAGAACTTCGAGATTAGGGCGTAATTGTTTTTGTAAACAAACACGTTCTTTGACGAATTAAAGCTCAATCTCAAAAACTAATAACACAAACAGGTAGAAGAGTGGTTCCTCTACCATTCGGTATAGTTTGTTCGCGAGATTGTACTTTTATTCGTGTGAAATCGGTGATTGAAGTGTTTGTTTACAAAAGCAATTACGCCCAAATATCAAAGCTCTCCGGATTTTCTTAAAAATACATTAAAAAATCAGTCAAGAATTTTTGAAAAAAAAATCGGAGCACCCTAACATGGAAATGGTCACCCTAATGGCGGAATAAAAAATACGAGTCTAATATTTTTCAATAAGAAAGATCTATACCACTTTTCACGAAATTCTGAGATACACTTTAACTTTTTTCTATGGAATATATATGAAATGATATACCATAAAGTACATCTATATACATAAAAACGAATTTATGTCCGTCTGTCTGATCCTTATAGACTCGGAAACTACTGAACCGATCGGCGTGAAAATTTGTATGCAGGGGTTTTTGGGGCCGGGAAAGGTTCTTATGATAGTTCGAGACCCCTCCCCCTTCTATAAGGCGCATAAACTCAAGCTAATATTGATTTCCGAGCAAGGCCACCATGTAGATTCACGAAATGCATCGATGTTTGAATATCAAGCATTTTTGCGGTAAATGCATCGCAGTAGGCCTTCCCGCTTTGATGTTTGCGTCATATCTCAGATATGCTGCAAACATCGATGATGGCAGGAAAAATGATAAGGCGTTATCCAACCTAATCATTTTCTAGGATGCTTTCTCGTACTGGCTGCATTTGTATTAGATTAGATTAGATTAGAAAGTACATAAACCTATATTCAGACTTTAAGTGCATTTGGCGCAAACTTATGATTCAAACTTCAATTTAGAAATAATGCATTTTATGAAATAAAGGAACCACCCTAGTAAATAATCATGTAACGTAATGAATGCTAATGATGGTTAAGCGTACAACTAGTATTCACATTATTGCTGTACATAAATAATGGTTATCCTTGCATTTAATAAGTAAAACAAAAAAATTCCAACGATTCCAGCATTTTCGAAGTATTTATTATCCAATTAACAAGTATTTCACAAGGTATTCTAGTGATGAATGCAAATAGCGTATCATTGTCACTCTTATAGAGAGGAGAGAGTATTCAGTTTTCTGTAGTATTTTGAGGTGCAGTGGAATCTTAAGCTTTTGCGTGTATTATGAAAAAGACCACCCAAATGAAAATTAGGCGTACCACCCTAATGAAGCATTACGTATTAGATGCCCCCTCTCCCTCCCCCATTGGATGATTTTCAAAAAACTCAAACTTTGACGAGTTTGCGCCACCCCCCTAATTCGACGGTCACTTTTTCCCATACATTCATTGGTACCCTAATGTATATTGCCTCTAGAATATATTTACTACTTGGCAAACTATTTTTTTTCCGTCGATCTTGTTTTCCGTGCTTCCAATGCTACCGACGCCAGGGAGGCAGCTCCCACACCTGGACCCTACCTATCGACCCATCAACTCATGAACCGGGGACCAACGGATTTACTTCCCTTCCCCCGAAGGAAGGCGTGATCAGCTATGTTATGCCTCAGAACATCCCGGCGGCGCCGACTGGGATTGAACCCAGGCCTGCTGGGGTGAGAGAACTTGGCAAACTATGATGTCTAACAATGTAACACATTATATATTAATGCATAATTAGAATATTAGATAAGCATTATACCACGGATACACTTGAATGACTAACTATGACCACAGACAAACAGACATAACACATTGAATATTTCTCACTGTAAAACATCGTCGCTACAACATTACCGCCATCTGTTGAATACACAGTGGTGGGTAGTACGCTGAACAGATGGCGGTAGTGTGTAAACGTCAAACGCAAGGGAATTGACTATGCGCGCCACAGGTGGCGGTACTACCAACTACGATACTTTTAAATTGACCGTTAAATGCTTGTTCAATCAACAACTTGCGAGTTTTATGTCTGTTTGTCTGTGCTATGACCATGAGCATTATTTTTATAATAAATTATGAGAACAGCCATGGTCACACTTGTATAATTTGTGTATAGTTGTTGTATAGTGCATTGGATCCGCAAATAAAATTCATTTTTTTTTTTGTAAGACGAGAAACATTTTTTTACAATATTTTTCCGATTTAAGTAAAGATCCACATGATTATTCAACAGTTTGATTTATGTCAATAATCTTAAAATTCCCCGCGCACATCCAAATGATTAAAGAATTTATGATCTTAACGTTTTTCCACGTCGTTCTTACGTGTGTCCGTGTGCATAAAATAATAGCACGAAAAAGTTAATAAAACAGCTATCAACGCAGAGGTAAAATATTTACCCTTGCCATGTATTTTCCCAGTTTTCCCGGATAAAGTAAATATTTGCCCGACTACGTTTGTGCGTACAGTGCAAGCCACTGCCAGAGATACATCGAAGCCATCGGCTGGCTGACTAACGGACGACTACTGATGGCATTATGGAAGCGTCGATACAAAAAACCAATATTTATATAAAACATTAACGTTTCCATCAAGCTCGATGCCTCCCGGGCGTAATAATGTAAAATTAAACTGTGCTGAAATACCGAGAAACAGGATTTTATTCATGTGGGAGGATCTCCCATTGAATCCGCATTTGCTTGTGCAAAATTGATAAAGCAAACGAAAATATCCAATATGCTGCCATAGGTTACTTTAATATGCCTACTCCACAGGAGGCATACTCTGATGACAGATTTCTTCAAAAGAAAAGACGCACATTTACCATTCTCCAAAAAACTCCCGTCATCGTTTAAAAATTGAAATAGGAAGTTTAATCTTCTCAACCAGCGTAAAATCTGACTTCTTACCAAACCATCTTTTCTTCAAAAATTTCTCATTTCCAGGTAAAACCCTCAGAAACGAACGCTCGGCATTCTTCGATTTCGCGACAACCCCTTCGACGCACCCGGTAGCGGCCGCCGCCTACTGCTATCGGCTGTCAACTCCACCCCAGCTAGTGAAACGCGAACCAAGCGACGGTAAGCTCAAGAAAAGTAAACATTGCGCGATTTTTTTCCCTTCTTTTCCACCGGAAACGCACCACAAAATTGACTTCCAAATTGCAAAGCCGAAAAATTCCCACACTCGCCACGCTACACACATTGAATAATCTCGAATCAAAATTGCCGCATAATTTAATTTTACACCCTCTGGGAAAAAGTGAACAAGCAAAGAACATCCTGCATCAATTTTCATCCGAACCGACGGAACATTTCACCTACCTTCTGCCTACCACTAGGCTTCCGTTCTCGCGTAAAGAAATATGTTTCTTTTCTTTGCTGGCACAATCGAATCGAAGCATGGCCTCCTACCACTTGTTGTTCGATGCTACCACTTGTCACTCCCGTATTTGTTGGCTTTTGTGGTGAAATCCTATACACTCGTGTCCCCTTGTTTATTTTTGTGCTACGGGGAAAATCTACTCCCCCACAAATGGATCCTCCGAAAATGACAAATTCAATTTCGTTTAATGAAAATAAAATTGTCACCGTTGATGCCGTCGGGATAGAATCTCGGTGGGTGCGGGGCATCGGTTTTTTTTTCCCGGGAGGTGTCGTAACCTCTTCACGAGCGCTAAAGAATTAATATTCATCTTTCGTTCAGCAAGCGGTTTTACATATTCCATCGAAACGAAAGTCGCGTTTTATATTTTATTTTTTTCAATATCACTGACAGTTTCTGATCTGATTGACGGTGGATTAGCGGGTATTGAAAAACAACAATCGAACACTTAATGGAATATTATGAAGCATTTATTTTAGAAACCGCCTAAGTCCATTTGGTAAAAAAAGCTGAAAAACAGCCAAAACCCAAACCAAGGTCCTACCCTAATAAAAATTGTATGGTTAATTTGCTTAACGACGTGTTCTGGGTATCATCCAAACCATTTGTGGAATAGTTCAATGATTTGGGTTATCGTTCGTTTATGGTTATTTTTTATTAGGGTATGTGGATGCTTTACAAATTTTCTGATATTTGCAGAAGCGAATCCAAAAACTGCAAAAGCAAGTCGTTGGGATAAAATGTGACTTATGTGGTTTCTCAAATAAATGATTCATATTTTGTTCAGCTATCATTGATTGCACTTCTTGTTATGCTGAGGACGACATTCATTGAATCATTTTTCAACTTTTAAATAACCTCAACCAAGGTGAGCCATCGTCATTATCAATTCAACAGAAAGGTCAAACCCTTTTTCACTCTTAAATAGATACACAACTCTCCCGCACAAAACATTTGAAGCCCCTAGAACAAGATTTTCATTAGTATTATCACCCCTCTCCCAAGCAAACAACCCTGCGTAACCGAAGAGTATCATCGCCCTAATGATTATAGCCATATCATAAATGATGAACAACCAAAATATTCTAGGCATTAGCAGGTCAGCGTATCATAGCAAAAGGGGTTAAAAATCACCCCCGCCTGCTGTGATGCTGGCAGAAAATGATACAAAAAACGAGCAACGGAGTGACGGATTAAGGGAATTCCAGTGCTCACTTAGATTAGGAAAACAATAGTCTATAGACACAGGGCAATGATGGGAGTGGTAGGGTGGATAGCCGAAACCGACCGTGAAATGAGGAACTAATTGTTCGTACTTAATAATTGATATAAATGAAATGATGCTTTTAATTACGATTTCGCAGGTAGTTCGTTTAATGCTGGTGGAAAGGGACCTGCAATTTAGATGGGGTGAATGTAAGCTCGGTCTGTTGCCATTCAAAATCTATTTAGGGTTACGGTATGTAATGTGGGTCTAGTCCTTTCATTCGGCCTATCACGCAAATAAATAATTAATTAAGGAATATTACACAAAAAATAAGGAAAATATTGATCACTGATGATTGATAAATGTGTACCACACACAAATCAATTTATATCACAACATTTCAATACATTTTCAGCTCTCGTAAGTAATAAAACTGGTTGAGAATATCACTCTGTTCGGAGTTTTTAGCCGCCATGACTTCTAAGGTTAAGATGGGAAGGTTGCACTGACGATCATCAAATGGCCTGATTATGGCATTTATTGAATGGAATTACCTGATAATACACACTAGACGTAAAACTCACAGTTACTGTTTGAATATTTTATGTTTATTTTAATTGTTTAACAACGTTTTCACAAGTAAATCATGGACCCAACTTTAGGGACACATTTCTTTTCTATGTTCCTAACTTTGGCCCATGAAATTCATTTGACAGCATATAGCAATAAGAGTAACGTCAACAATGTGGTTTGCATTTGGATGATAAGGAACGAACAGGAAGGGAGATTTTTTCTGCCAAATCTGTATAATGAACATCACAATGTTTTGATTTAGATATTCTGCGGTCGAAAGACGATAAGCGAAATTTTTAATTTTTAATTTTTAACTTGAGTGATTTAATGTAGTTTTCGTAAAATTTTCTCTAAGAAATGTTTTGAGGAATGAAGAGTATTAAGTTAACAGTGATAGTGATAAAAAAAAATACATAAGAAAACGTTACCAAGAGCGTTTTTTTTGAGAATCAAACAGGATAGGACGAAGTTGCATCCATAAATAGACCCAATTTGGGGACAATAGACCGATATTACATACATTTCCCTGGTGAGTTTTTGTCTTAAAAAAAGTAAGTTTTTCAACTTTTTGCGGTTCCTGATAGCAAACGACATGATAAGCATATCTAAGCATACCATTTAGCAGTAGAATATCGTTTGCAGGTAAATTAATTGATGAGTTATGATTAAAAACGTAATCTATGGCTGCATATTAGACCGAGGTTAGGGACGTATACCCTATAAAAGATTTTTATAAATCAAATTCATTGACGGATCTATAAGCAGGCTTATCGGCTATCTTAAGGTTGATTCTTAGCGAACTTGTAAACTTAATTAATTTTATGTTTTAGAAGCTCAGATACAGATTTTCTAAAAAAAAACTTTAAATAACTCTTGATTTTCTGGAAACGACACAGTAATGTTAAGCATAAATTATAATCCACCTAACCACTTCAAAAAAGTAGGCTGTGGAGTTTTGACGTCTTAAGAAGAGTTGTTTATTTTATCAAGATAAACAACTTTGCCAAAGTCGTCAATCTTCAAAATGCCATTTCAATGCATTAAAAAAAGTTATAGAAAAAAGTATGTTCCACTGAAATGAAGAAATCTCAAAAACATCAAAATATACCTCTATCAAATTTTTGTTTATCGATTATTGGCTTAATGTTTTTTTGAAAAGGTTAGGATGCGATTTTTTGCGCTTTGGGAGGTAGCAAAGCTAAAAAATTGCGGTTTTTTCATTTTTTCAACAATATCTTTAAAATTTTAAGCTTAAACCAGTATGTTTCTTCACAAAAGTAATTTATTTAATGCATTTGCATTAAAGAAAAATATAACATTATATTGCTGTAAGCAAAAAAACCGAAACAGAAAGAAAAAAAAACATATTTTAGACATTTTTTCTTTAACTCCATGTAACTCGGAACCAGTAGGCTGTGGAAATTTTACGTTTTCAAAAGAGTTGTTTATTTTGTCAAGATAAACAAGTTTGCTAAAGACATCAAGTCTCCAAAACGTCAGAGAAAGAAGTTAGATTGTGGCGTCATCTTTGCGGAAGAGTTTTGAACTATTTGCTTTTGTCAATAGATGGTCCTTATTACGATGAGAAACTTTGCCGAAGACGGCAAGTCTCGAAAATGCTTCATTTCGGAGTTATTAATATTGCTCCGCTAGATTGCATTCCTGGCCCAGTGTGCAATGGTCTCCAAGAATAATGTTCGGCTGACCTATTTTAAATAAAACGTTTGTAAATATGAAGCTCATATAAGATAATTGTTATCGATTGCTTATGTGGTTTAATGGGTGACAGATCAAAAGTCCAAATTAATGCTATAGATTTTTTAACTTATAATTCATAAACATGAGTTTTTTTTTCCACGAGCTGGGAATTATTATAGATATGAAATAACAAAAAAGTCCTTGAAAGGAAACTACTAAAAATTTTGAAATTTGAAACATTTAAAAAAAAATCTAAATGATTGACTTATGTTTTCAACCGTGAAACCTGAGAAAATTTTAATATCTAGAACAAGGACAAAAATAGTGGTTTTCCGCAACAAATGTAATAGGTTTGCAACTTTATCGAGACTTTTGTCACATTCTAATTCATTAACGATTGTTTATAGTAAATCAATGTGTTTTAGACATTTGTGACATGGGTTTGAGACACGACTCAAACTTTTGTTCCGCTGACTCAACATTTCACCCCACTATAGGCAATTCCAGCTTCCTGATGACATATCAAAAGTCTTATACTCCTAAAACCATCTTCAAGAATAACACAATCATGTCCTGAAATAAAATTACCCCTTCACTATTCACCCCCAAAGTTGGTACAAACTTTTTCCTATAATTCATCGTAAACATCATAAATTGTTGTGCTCTAAAAGACCTTGTAAACAAGTGCCAAAACATGGAGCAACATTTTGGACACGCTTCGAAAACCTCAAAACAAACTTTGACTCACTTTTCTTTTCTAAAATTTGACAGAGCCGATTCAAAAACATTTACCCGATAGTCCGACCACGATATTGTATTAGCTAAAAGAGGGCGAACTGTAGACGGTTCCCAAAAAATCTCTCCAATCAAGTGAATTTTAAGGAAATGCTTTTTTATACGAATCCAAAATACCTACCAGAAAAAAATATAGCATTGCAACTGACTACAGCAGTATTACATTAATGTAGCCGTCCTCAAAAAAAACCCGACGCTGGATGCCTCGTTTCACTGAATAAGAAAAGTATCCAAAAACTCACCTGTGTTCTTCCAAAGTACCTTCATTGCTCCGTTTTATGATTAGCTGGTCGGAAAAAGGGGACGATTAAATTTTCATACGCATTGTTTCGCTGCTTTTGGCCTTTTTCGGAAAATTCCCGCTGGGATTTGGCCCTCTCCCCGTTTCGTTTTTCGTGTTGTTGGTTGCTCTTTAATATCTACTCATGGCCAACTGCTTCTGTTACTGTCAGAGTGAGTAACAATGTGCTAAATGTTGTATACCCTGACTCATTCACTCCGAGAATTCAGGGGAGACGGCGAAATCCGATTATGTATTACAGGGTCGTGGGATCCATCAAAGTATAGACTGTGATTTCTACTCTAACAGCAGCTCGACGATGAATTTGCACATGTTGTTGGCTTGCGAATGAATAATACACCTCAAATTAGCGACATTAATTATGCAGGCAAAAGAGCATACTTTAGGATATTTGTGTAGCTGATGAAATATTCATTTCATCAACCGTCTCACAGTTGGATTTGTTAGAAAACTGTTTGAAGAGTCTATTCAGAATGTTATGGTTGATAGCCTTTTTTTCATCAATTTTTCTTCCAGTAACAGCATGGCACACCTACTCAGAGCGCATGTTCACCGACCCATTGTACACCTCTCTGAAACTCCAAAGCCAGCAGTCCTCATCGCCTCAGTTAGCGCAGCACTCAATCTTCCCGGATTCCACGTCCCATCTGTCTTCGACCCTGGATCACGCGCCTTGTCTCCCTGCTGCTCACTCTGCCGACACCGCTGAAAGCTTCCTACACCAGGGATACGCTTACCGACAACCGTCCGATATTGTTACCTCATCCGAGCCGGACTACTGCTCCACGGCCGGTGGATCCTCTGCCCTAACGAGTATAACCACGACAAACCCATCCCCGTTGAACTCCCTACCCGGACCTAACGGACCGCTTCACCAACGTCGAGGGTCTCTTCAGCTGTGGCAGTTTCTCGTGGCCCTCCTGGATGAACCTGCGTCCAGTGCCGGTTGCATTGCCTGGACCGGACGTGGAATGGAATTCAAACTAGTCGAACCAGAAGAGGTTGCCCGCCGATGGGGTATCCAGAAGAACCGTCCCGCCATGAACTACGACAAGCTATCCCGAAGTCTACGATATTACTACGAAAAAGGAATCATGCAGAAGGTCGCCGGTGAGCGGTACGTCTACAAATTTGTCTGCGACCCGGAAGCTCTCTTCAACATGGCGTACGGAACGACCACTGCCAGTGGAACAGGCTGCGGGTCAACACTGGACGGGTCGCTACATTCACACCACCACCATCACCATCATCAACAACAGCAAGGAAGTTCCTCGTCGCCAAATTGCCAGGGTGGACAATCCGCACTTGGAGACGGAGGTGATGAAGCGGAACGTGGCTCATACTTTACAACCGGCTCATCAACGTACAATCACGGAAACTGAGAAGCGAATGCGAAGAAGAGATGGTTATACATATAGGTAGTTGAGAGGCGGAAGGCGAAGAAGCGTTGCGTTGTTGGTGAAATGTAGGGTTTTTCTCCGGAAAGTTACTCAACAAGGATTATTATATGATATTTTGAAGAATAATAAAAAATAAAAGCAATAAAGTAATGAACTATATGTATAGCAAATGATGTTTAAAAACAAACATGGTGATTTTTGATTAGCTGCGTAATTTTGTCTCTTGAAAGAAAAATTAGAGTTGAAAAGAAATTGAAGTGTAATATTTTAAACCTTTATAAGGCCGCGGAAACTAAGGAAAGGAATCAGCTTATACTACAACTTAAAGTTCACATGGTTCACATATATTCTTCTTCTATGAAGAAAGCTAATTGTAATCTCCATATCGGAAATTATTCCACTAGCCCATTTCAGAATGTTTGGTAATTCACGTAATCCATTTCGAGGTTACTTTCGCATACAGTAAGCCCCGCATGTCTGCAATACTATCATCAAATGAATGATGGTTACACATTACAATCCAATGAATTTTGGTATTTTTACGATACTGTATATGATGACGATACGCATAGTGAATACCCCTAATCTTTCTGAGCCCGGTGCGTAGTTAGTTGTTGATCAAAATGAGCATGAAAACATTGTGTATGTAGGAATGGTCTCACCATGCTAGACAATATGATGACAATTAGCTGCTTAAAGACGTCTGGTTCCTTTTAGCAGTGTGAGCCAACAATTCACGGAACTGCTTTGAGCTGTGCCTGGAGTCAGTTTCAATTTCTTTGTCAGATTCAACTGATTTTAATGAGCGCTGCTTGACCGTTTTCAACAAACCGCACACTTAACACCAATTAAAACTACCCGTAACACGAAAAAGCGGAGCAAAGTTTCAAAAAATAGACGAGAGAAAAAACAAATTTTGTTTTTTACTTCGACCACAGCATACTTCGATCTTTGAGCTGTAACTTTTCTGAGTGTGGCTCAACATTTATGACAACTTGGCTGCTGGATCCTGGATGATCAAAAATATTCAAACTCATTCACAGTGAATGATTCACTACAGGTTTGGGCCTAAACTGGATAAGTCTGTATGAAGTTTGAAAAATGTTAGTGAAACGCCTGTACAATGAACCAAATTAGCTGAAATGTTTCTCATTTGGAGTGAAAACACCTGGCTTAAATTGAACTGAAATACGTTTAGTACGATAAAACTAACAACTTTGATTTTTTCAGGTTATATGGAATACTTTAAACAGAAATCACATTTTTTGGATTAGAAAATTTTAAAAGCATGCTATAATAAAGTGCTTCATTGAGAAAAAAAATGTGTTTGCAATCATTGCAACTACCTACCAGCTTGAATCATAAGCTCATTTGCATGCTAAAATAAATAAGTTGTTTTGTTTTTGCAATCATTGCAGCCGCCCTTTACTTTAAGTCATAGCCCCAAAATATGAGCCTTTGCAAAAAAAAATGTAAAGATTAAGCAAAGATTTATAGGTCACCCAAAAGGTTTAAAGTTTGTATGCGGATTACTATGGGAGATTTTTTAATTTTACCAATATCGGTCTAAGCGGCGCCGGTGGTGTAGTGGTAAGCATAATTACCTCTCACTCCAGCAGGCCTGGGTTCAATCCCAGATGGTGCCGCCAGGATGTTCTGAGGCATAACATCTCTGATCACGCCTTCGGAAGGGAAATAAAGCCGTTGGACCCTGGTTCATGAGTTGATGGGTCGATAGGTAGGATCCAGGTGGCATCCCTGGCGTCGGTAGCATTGGTGCTCAGGACGGAAAACAAGATTGACGGAAAAAAAATCAAGGAAAAATAATAATAATATCGCTCTAACTTTCACAGAGAAAAAAAATTTACCCTAAATTTACGTTCTTTTTACTTAATTTTGGGTAATTTTGAGTTTTGCATCCCACTCTCACTTTTTGTTGTTTTCAAAAACGGAACGAGAGATTCGACTTTCTCATGACTATCGTTCAATAAGCTACTAGTGAGTATATGAGATATTCTCAAATTTGAGTCAATTGAAATTTTGGGTAGAAAATACATACGAGTAAGTAATTATTTTTGCCGTAGCCAAATGCAAACTACTATAAGCGGTTTACTGAAAATTAGCTTATTGAACGGAACATGGGAGATGAGTGAAAAGAACTTAATTTTGGGTAATTTTTCGGTTCCGTGTTCGTTTTAGTTGTCCAAATGCGTGGTTGGTATGACAACAAGCCTGTTATTGTTGTGGTCAGTTTGATAGCAATTCAAGAAAGATGGCAACGAGAAAAAATTACAAAATTTATAAGTAAATATGTGCTTGACAACAACATCAATTTCATTACAACAACGACAGGCTTGTTGGCTATTGTCACGCAAAAAAAAGTTCTTAATTTTAACAGTCGCGTAAATACGTATCGTAAAACGGGGTAACATTGATAGTTTTTTAAAGTATATTCCAAATATTTTTTTACAGCAATGAATGTTTTTCAAATTTTATATTTTTAAAACAAGAACTGAGGATCCAAGAGTTAATTCGTTAGTAATATGTTGAACGAAAATTAAAGCATTTGCTCTATTTTTTTAGTTTTTGTGACCGAACTTCAGTATTTTGATTTGGGTTACTTTGATAATGCTCAATGAATGTAGAAAAAAATGAGTGAAACTCAAACAATTTAGTTCTTTAAATATGAAACTTTGAATGAGTATATAATCAGAAAACTTCATAAGCAATAAGAATACAACATTGAATTTGTGATAGCTGTATCGGAAATACATTTCATAAGTGATGGTTTGAGTGCTTTTTAAAAAGACGAAAAGCACGAAAATGGTTTCTTAATATTTTTGTAAAATATGTAACACATACTATATAAAAATTATATACGATATCAACGGAAATACCCTAAGCTACAATATGGAGTCAATGTTTCTTATTTGGAAAAAGCAAAGTGAGTAAATTTATTCTTTATATTTTACTATCAAAGTTACCCGCATTATCAAAGATAACCTGTTTTACGGTACGTAAATGTCATCTAATTTATTTTGAGCTATAGTTGGCATAAACATCGAAATCTTAAATAAATGAAAGTGAATTTAAATGGATGTTTTTGTATGACATACAATGATAGAAGAGCAACAGTTTGTATCGCTTAACTCGGTTTGTTTACATTTGTTACATTGGTCGATTTGAAAAGTGACGCGAGAATTATGAACCACTTTTCTGTCAAACGTGAACCAGCTCGTGATTGGCTGATTTAATGTGCGTAATACCCCGGACAGACTATGGCTTATATCATGTAATATAGGCTGTCTTGCAATGAACACTAGACTGATGCAAAATTTGAAACGTTTCGCTCCACAGTGCTCAAACGGTTTCAAATCAGGTCCTGATTAGCCTCCCAAAATTAAAACTCATTTGGTAAGAAACTGACTTGGCACAAACTATTCGAAGTTTATATGGAAATTACTATGGGAAAACCAAACTTTTTGTTCATTGTCTTCTGCCCATTTTCAATATTGTTTTTTCGAAAATTTCTATAACTATTATTACGGGAAATTTTCTTAGCTACAAGTTTGCGGAATATCGTTTTTCAGCCAAATGTCAAATTAATTATTCAAGAGATTGATAATCTTATGGCATGATCATGCAGCTGTTCTGTAGGCAACACTGTATTCTACAGTGTGACATAGTAGCCATGATATTTGTGCTATATTCTTCGCACCAGAAACACCAATGTTGCCTGCTGAACAGTTGAATGAGCATAATCATAAGACATCAGTGACTTGAATCATTAATAACTTTTGTTCCTTACATTTGATTGAAAAATGGTTTTCAACAAAGTTGTAGCTGAGAAGATTTGCTACAATCACTGTTATCATTTTTAAAAGCATAGTGATGTGGTAAATTGTTAGATAGATATGATCAAAACCATAAGTTTTCCCATAGTAATTCCTATACAAACTTGAAATGGTTTGTGCCAAGTCAGTTTCTTACTAAAGTAGGTCAAATTTTGGGAGGCTAAACAGGACCCAATTTGGAACCGTTTAAGCACTGTGGAGCGAAAATTTCAAATTTTGCATCAGTCTAATGAACACCCATACATCTAGTTTTCACTGGAAATCCTATGTATGAGTGCTCATTGCAAGACAGCCTATATTACATGATATAAGTCATAGTCTGTTCGGGGTATAAGATAGAGATAGACATATATAAGATACAGATAGAGATAGAAATTAAAGAGTAAGAAGTCAATTGTCACCTCTTCCTCTTAGGAAACAATGCGTGAGATTACGCCAAATCTAACGATTATACCGTGTGTGTATATCGCAGAAATTGACCGAGGGACGATCAAATTCATAAATTAGTTGAATTGTAAATATACACTTCGAAAAATACACCAAAAAATTTATAAAAATACGTACAGGTGTACACGTTAAAACTGAAATACCCTTAATACAATACACATAAAATACATCGAAAATACTTTGTACACGCAAAATTTATTTTATAATAAATTTAATACACTTTAATACTTAAATACGCAAAACTAGAAAATACACAGATGATGAAGATCTTTGAGTGTGTTGATTTATTTCCTTCTAATTCCGTTATAACCGCTTATCTTTTGACAGATACGCGTATTTTATAGTAGAGGAAATACGCGTATCTGTCAAAAGATAAGCAATTATAACGAAATTAAAAGGAAAAAAATCAACACACTCAAAGCTCTTCATAAAGGGATTCCATCGAGAGGTTCGGTAAAATTAAAAGATTGGACATAAATGATGATGAATCGAAAATACTCAAGTTGACAGCACGGTGCATGGTAATCACATATTAAATTCAAAATGAATTTGTGAAAATATAAACGTTTTGGGTGACCTCTAAAACTTTACTGAATCTTTACAATTTTTTATAAAGGCTCATATTTTGGGGTTATGAATCAAAGTGGAGGGCGGCTGCAGTGATTTCAAAAACAACCTTATTGTAGCATGCTTTTAAACAAATGAGGTTATGATTCAAACTGGAGGGTAGTTGCAATGATTACAAACAATATTTAAAAATGTGAGCGTATATAAAAAGAATAGTTCATCGGATCTCCTTTCTTTTAAATAATATTTGACTAGGAATCTTCTGGAGGTAATTCGGTGAATATATTTGGTTGAACTGTTGTTGAATTGTTGTCGCCGTACTTTTTTTACCCTCTGAGCTCAAACATTGTGCATGGGTGATAATGGCAAGCCAGGTATGTTGTTACCGTGGAATCATCGTGGTGATATGCACTACAAAAAAAATAACAGAACACAACAGCGGTCTTGACGTAGGACTACGAGAATTTCAATGAATTCTTAAATTTAAAGCGAAATTTGTTAGTCCATCATTTATGGACATCAGAACACGTTTGCTATTGCATTCATTAGAAATTTGATCATCTGATGTCCAGGAGGAAAAACGGTAATCCTTTATTCCGGAAATGCTCCGTAACCCTTTGAAAGATGCTACATTAGTGCATAGGCAAAGCGGCGTAGCGTGACTCGATGACACCTAGGGTGGTTGGTTTAGGTGTCACCCCATAAAGTGGGAGCCACAATTTTGCGTCAATGTCAACGTCAAATAAGAATCCGGTCAAAATTGATGGACTGAAGTGGGACCCGCCAAGTACAGATGTCGGTAGAAAACTTAACATGCGTTACACATTTGACGGAAGAACCCCTATTTTAAATAAATTGTACACAAACTTTAAAGATATTAACTTATGCAAATTCTTGGGAGAATTATTAAGGATATAAAGGTAATGGTGGAGTTTTCTAAGCAGGAGCACAATAAGGATTTATACAAATTCTAAAACGTACTTAATGATTGAATGATTTTAAGAAAATTCTCGTTTATATTCTAAAGAAAACCTGTGAAGTGTAATGTAGGCACCAAAATTTTTTCAAGATTTCGTGCACAAAGGTAGTAATGATCTAGAAATTTTGTTCTTATGCTTGGACTTTTTTTAGCTGTCTGTTTATTAAAAATCTGAACGGTTCTGAGACTTGAACTTATACGAAATTTTGGATGAATTGAAATTATATCTTTAACGTGGATTTAATATGCCACACATAGAGATTTCTTGAGCCCTCCGCCCTACGTAGGTACTCATGTTTATTACAACAAAATAAGCTTTTTTAAGTTTCTAAAAGAAGCATCTAGATGGTTAAAAATTAGTCTCTAGAAGATCATAAAAGAAGATTCTGGGCGAAACTCCCTGTTATTACCTGTTATAAAGAAAATTCTAGAGCTTCTAGAAGCTTGTTCAAGAAACTCCTAATAAAAGCTTACAAATTAAGCTTCTAGAAGTTGCTAGAAATATTCTAGAAGTTTCCAAAAGAACCTTTTAGAAGAATCTTCATATGTAAGCTTTTTTCGGAAGTTTCTTCTATAAGCATCTTTTGGAAACTTCTATAATATTTTTAGCAACTTCTAGAAGCTTAATTTGTAAGCTTCTTTTAGGAGTTTCTTGTAGATTTTCTAAAGGAAGCTTATTGAAAAAATAAACTCCTAAAATAAGCATAGTAATGAATCTCCAGAAGTTTCGAAAAGAGCATCTAGAACAAGTATCTAAAAAAAAGCATCTAGAAGAAACTTCTTAAAGAAGCTCCGAAAATAAGTTTCTAAAATAAGCTCCTTAAGGGGAAGCTCACCGGCCCAAAAATAAAAAAATATTTTCGGTACGTTTTTATTTTTCTAAAAATATTGGGAAAAATTATCAAAAATCCAAGAAAATCAGTTTCTTCCTTAGATTTTTGTCAAAAATTACATGCAAAAAAATTTTTTCTATCCCATCAAGAAAAAAAATTGGACTCTCAGAAAAACCGAAAAGTTGATGTTTTTGCACGTGAATTTTCTTTAAAAAATTAGAAAAAATGTGATTTTTTTAGATTTTTGATACTTTTTTTCAATATTTTTAGAAAAATCAAAACGTATTTTTTTTTTCGGAGCGATTTGCTTCCCCTTAAAGAAGTTTACTAATGAGGATTCTGGAAATTTCTAAAAGAAGCTTCCAGACTAAATTCCTAAAAGCAGCTTCTGGATGAAATTCTGCTACCATTCAGAAGAAACTCACGAAAGAAGCTAAACGTTTTGAAAATAAGCTCTTAGAATAAACTCCTACAAGAACCTTCTGGAAAAGTTTCAAAAAGAAGCTCCTGAATGAAACTCACAAAAGAACCTTCTAGAAGTAGCTCCAAAAGAAAGCTTCTAGATGACGCAACCATAAAAGAAGCAACCAACAAACACTTTTAGCTGTAGAACAGTTTATACAGGTAAAAATGTCTTATGCAGCTTATTAATGCTTGTATAGGCTGTTCTACAGCTAAAATTATTTGTTGCGCTTACAAATAAATAAGCTTCATGATGTTTTGACATGCTAGTAGATGCGACTCTTCCGCCACATCAGTGTGGGTGCCCGGCCTTAGACGGTTCTAAAAGAAACTACTTAAAATGCGTTTCTAAGGTAACGCCCTACAGTAAAAGTGTGACCGAAGGAAACCAGCAAACTGAAAAAAAAAGTTGTTACAATCGAGCAAAGTAGTACATTTTGACAGACAGACGATTGTAACAGCTTTTATCAGACGTCCGTTATTTTACTAGAGGGCTTTACCATAAGAAAGCCTCAAAACTCGGCAGAAATTGCCAAGATTCGGCGAACAAAATTAAGCGTGTCATGATTTTTTTTTTTTTCAAATCCGGAGGTCACCATGTTGGAAACATCAATTTTCAGCGTTTACTTATCATCTCGCTTGCGTTTAAAATCGGAATAAATACCTGCCTTCCAAGAATTTATTGCAGAATCATCATTTTTTTTCCAAACATCCTTTTCAACCGCACTAAAGCATAAACAGCAGATCCCAATTCTTATTTCCGTCACCGAAGTAGAAAAATCCAAAAACACTTGAATTCACACGATGAAAGTTGTTCATCCCAGGCCAGTACAAAGATTTCAACACGAAAACATCCCTCTCTCGGTCACGTGTCACAACGAAATTCTTCTCCTTGGGAATCGCACCATCAGCCGCCGAGTCAAATACGTCCACGAAATAGCTGCAATCCTCTCGCTTCAGCAGATTCTCCCTTACGTCGTTTATAGGCTTTCGAAAATGCTGATAATTCACCATTCTGATGCTTTCGTCCGGATTCATCCCACCAAAAAATGGATTGATGACACAATCGCCTTCCGTGCTGTGATACAGCACACCACGTGGGACGATGGCCGCCTCTTGTAGTACTTTTGTCACTGCGAACCACAGCCGGTCCTGTTCTTTCACTATAAACCGCCTGCGTTCACCCTCGATCGGAACTTGATCCTCATCCAGAGTAAATTCCGGTCCCAAGTCCACTTGCAGATTGAAAGCCGGATCTCCTCGAAATGGGCTTCTTATGCGGTCCCAATCGTCGCTCCAATGCTTCGGCTCCAGCAGCAAAAACCAGTCACAAAGGTTCTGACTGTAGAACAGTCTCCGGCTCTTGAAAATGTCCCGTCCGGTACAGCCGAATGCCAGGATGTAGTCCGCATCGGTACCTTCGAGCTTTCCAAGGAAATAGACACTGTTGAGACGTTGAGCACGCTGCAGGACACGAAGCGAGTGTTCCAGCTTGAGCCTTTCTTCGGTGGACAAAGTTCGAAAGGCGTAGGCCATGTACGGGAGGTGATCGAACAGGTTGTCAAGATTCATTTTGGGAAAGAATTCCGATGAAACTGCTTCCGGTGAGACCTTGTGTCAAATGTGGACATGTCATGGCCAACGTTGATTAACCCTTCGTCTGGGCCAAATTCTAATTGCCGTATGTCGGCGATGTTTCAAAGGATTTTTGAAATAGGTATCAAAAGTTTTCCAAAGTGACTAATATTGCCTAATCTGATGTGTCCATGAAATGCGATATGTCGATGTTAGAGATGTTTATACCACGAGATCCTCCCCATATGGGATGTTACTTCCTTCAGCAAAGATGTTCAGGTATACAAAGTCTTCGAAACGATGGATTGTGAATTGCAGAATTTGCTCCCTAGATGGCAGTAATGACAAAAATGATAAAAATTATTGAGTTTCACTGTTCTAGATCATTGCTTTGTGAGGGCAAATCCCAAGACAGCTAGCAGCGCTGTGTAGAAGACGGAACATTCATTGGGTATAAATATGGGCTACCTAAGCTCGCAGACGGCTCATCTCGCTACCTGTGAATCCAGGAGCTAAGTTCGGACCACTATCCGGTGGTGGCCGATGTGGGCTCATCCATCAACCGATTCCAAACTTTTCGACGCAACTACCATCCCTACAGCTGTGATCAGTTCCAACACTGTGTCGACTCCACTGTCGACTACGGTGTCCTTCCGGAGACGCCCGAAGACGTTGAGCGGTGTCTGCGTTCCATCGAGGAGGCGAATCCCGGGCCAGGGAACAAGTATCCAGACAGGTGAGCAATACTCTGAAGCTTGATAGAATTATCAAAAATATCATCAGACTCCATAACTCCATCCGAAGGCAATACCAGCGTTCTGGTTTGCGTGTCTTGAAGACCCATTGCAATCGTCTTACAAAAACCATCCAAGCAAGGATGGTGGACCTTAGAAATCAAGATTTTGCTAACAAGATCCGCTCTCTCCCAGATTGTGCAAAGCCCTTCTGGAAACTAACGAATTTCCTTAAAAATAAGCCAAGACCCATTCCACCACTGACCCCGCTGGATCGTCCCGACGACCCAGTGGTTCATCTGATAACTCCTGAAGAGAAGGCTTTCGCGATAGGTCAACACTTCGTCAGCTCCCATAATCTCGGACAAAACATCGTCAGCCCTCACGAAACTGAGGTAGCTGTAAACGCAACCATCCTAATATTTTTCCCGAGGAATCCGAGGTTACGGCTCACGAACTCTTGGCCTATATCAAATCATCTAAAAACATGAAGGTCCCAGGTTTCGACAACATCCTGAATCTGGAACTCAAATACTTGAGTTCCACATTCTACAACCATCTGGCACTCTCATACGCTGATACACATATCTGCTAAAGTCATACCCATCCGGAAACTTGGGAAGGATCTGTCCCTCGATCTGTCCTCTCCTTCAAGTTATCGACCAATCAGCCTTCTCTCAGGGTTATCAAAACTGCTCCTAACTCCTGCCGAAGAAAACAACTTGTTACTCGAGGAGCAGTTTGGTTTTCGGAAAGGTCGTTCGACCGTAACATATATTCTCAGACGGAGCAAGTCTGTTTCGAAAACATCTGCCATGGCGTTGTTGGATGTTGAAAAAGCGTTCGACAATGTCTGGCATGATAGGCTGGTGTTCAAATTGCAGCATTACTGTCTTCCAATCTTCCTAGTGAAGATAATAAACAACTATCCATCGGACAGGACGTTCCGAGTCTTTCTGAATAGCATCACATCGGATGCTTTCAACATCGGTGCCGGGGTTCCACAAGGAAGCATCCTTAACCCCATTCTATTCAACCTTTTCACCTCCGATATGCCGGCTCTCCCTGATGGTGGATCGTTGTCTCTGTTCGCAGATTGTTTGTTTAAATGATCTTTATTTTAGTTTAACTTGGACGATTACCATATAAATTTTTACTAAGTGATTTAATTGCTTTCTTCATCTTTAGGTATGGGCAAAATTTAAAATTTGTTTTACAGGATTAGTCCTAGACTTAGTACACGGTCGACCACCTTGGTGGGATTGGTTTGTTTTGTTTTTAGAATTTGAAGAGAAACTACTTAATACTACTATTTACAGCTTAAAACTAACCTACTCTACTATATACACTTAACCTACTATGTACAAATTGCTTATTAAAGCATGTTCAGAAAGATTGCATTTTTGAATAAATTTAGTTGTCATAACATCAATTTTGGAATCTACTTTGGGAATTTCTGCCTCTTGATGGAGGTCTGCAATTCTTGTGTCGAATGGACGATCTAGGATCATCCTCAACACTCTATTCTGTGCAACCTGGATTTTGTTCCTGTGGGTCTGAGCGCACGATTCCCACACCGGGGCGGCATAGAAGATCGCGGGGGCTATGATCTGTTTGTAAACAGCCAGTTTGTTTTGCCTTGAGAGGCGGGATCTGCGGCAAATGAGCGGATACAAACACCTAACCAAGGCGGAGCACTTAACTAGGGTTTTCTCTATGTGCGAGCGGAACAGGAGCTTCTCATCGAACAACATCCCGAGATAAGTAACATCAGTGGACCACTCGACCCTTGTACCATCCATTATTACGGTACAGGAGGGAGACGGTTTAAGTTTTGGTGATTGTCTGTGAAGGAACATGATCGCTTGGGTTTTCGAGGCGTTGATTTTGATTTTCCACGAGGTGGCATAATCAGTAAAGGTGTCAAGGCATCGTTGCAGCTTGTTCGTAATTTCACGAGGCATCCTACCCTTGACGGCTATCGCGGTGTCATCTGCGAACAGAAAGAACACGCAACCGTCTCCTAGAGGAGGGATGTCCGACGTGTAGATGCTGTAAAGCAGTGGTCCCAGCAGACTCCCTTGCGGAACACCTGCTGGGATCGGAAATTGTCCCGAAAGGGAACTATTCAACGACACCCTGAACGACCTTTGCTGGAGATAGTTACGGGTGATTTTCACAAGGTATGGTGGAAAGTTGGAGTTACAAAGCTTGTATATAAGTCCGTCGTGCCAGACATTGTCAAACGCCTTTTCGACGTCTAACAAGGCCATGGCTGTGGACTTGGATACAGCTTTGTTACTTCGGATGTTATTCATCACCCGCACTAGCTGATGATTGGTGGAATGCCCCTTGCGGAACCCGAACTGTTCCGGAAGAAGAATGTCATGTTCCTCCACAAACTTGTTTAGTCGGCTGAGGATCAATTTTTCGAACAGCTTGCTCAGCGCTGAGAGCAGGCTAATCGGTCTGTAGCTTGACGGTAGTGAAGGGTCTTTCCCAGGTTTGCGGATCGGGATGATTTTTGCCACCTTCCAGATGCTTGGAAAGTAGTGCAGCTCCAAGCATCTGTTGAAGGTGGCAGCTAGCAGCAAGTGCACCCTCGGGCTGAGATTTTTCAACGCTAGGTTGAATATTCCGTCAAACCCGGGAGCCTTCATGTTCTTACTGTATTTCAGCGCTGAGCAAATTTGTTCCTCTGTAATCCGTTCTTCTGGAGGGACGGCACAAGGGGAGGCATCTAACGTCAGGACGCACTGCGCAACCTGGTTCTCGAGTGGACTTGGGATTTTAGAGCCAAGCAAATGCGACTGGGCAATGTGCTCCCCAATCGCATTGGCCTTCTCTTCGTTGGTGATAAGCCGTTCGTCATTGACTCTAAGTGGTGGAATGGGCTTGGGGTGAGACTTCAGCACCTTGGCAACCTTCCAGAATGGTCTGGAACGGTCGTCCAGGTTCTGAACGAGCCGCCCGAAACTCTCGTTCCGGATTGAGACCATTCTGGAAGCGATCTGCCGATTCAGATCGACCATTTCGTATTTACGCTGCAGATCCCCAGTCCGCTGAAACTGGCGTCTACGAACATTTCTGAGCCGAATCAAGAGTTTGGTGTGGGAATCAATTGCTTGAAACTTACCCCTCACAGGAACTCGTCGAACGCACTCTTCGTCAGCCACGGATATGGCTTGATGGAGACCCTCCAGAGCCCGGTCGATGTCCTCCACTGTGTCGAGTGGTGGGTTGTCGTCGATGTGGCGGTCGACCACGCGTCGAAACTGGACCCAGTTGACTCGATGGTAGTCCTTCCGCTGGCACGGTGCAGGGGCCACGTTGTAGCCCAGCTCGGTCAGCACCGGTTGGTGGTCCGAACTCAGGTCGTTGACGGCAACCGGCTTGGTTAATCTGGTGTTTGCCAAGAACAGGTCCAGCGTCGATGGGTTGCCCGCCGGTGATGTGAAGGTTGGTTCGTCCGGAAACCAGACGGAATAGAGACCATGCTGGGAATGGTCGAATAGCAGGCGGCCGTTTTGGTTCTGCTGGTAGTTCCGCCAGGCCTCGTGCCGGGCGTTCAGGTCCCCTCCGATTACGAAGCGGGCATTGGTGCGGGTTATGATGGCAAGGTCGTTCTTGAACTGCTGTGCTGTACCATTGCTAACGGTACATTGCCGGGGGCAGTAGACAACGATGAACCGGACGTTTCCGGTCGATGTTTCCACCTCAACGCCGACGGCCTCGATGATGGAAGTGCGGTAGTGGGGTAGGGTGCAGTACTTGATGCCTTTCTTGATGATGACCGCGACACCGCCCCCCCTGGAGCTGGTGCGATCAAGCCGGACAATGCTGTGGTCGGGCAGCCAGAAGCTGTCACCGGTCTTGAGGTGGGTCTCGGTGAGAAGGCCCACGTCGATGTCGTGCTTGCGGAGGAAGTCTGCAAGCTCAATGTTTTTCGCCCCTACGGAGCGAGCGTTCCAGTTGGCGATCTTTATGGGTTCACGGTCCATAATTAGCGACGAAGGAGATGATAGCTTGGAGCTGTTGTGTTCTTGTTGCGCAGGTGCGCTTGATGATGATGGCCTGGGCCAACAGTGTGACGATCTCATCCGTTGACAGCGGAGAATCGTCTGTAGCTTCACCGGTTGTACCGGCCAATCCCGGAGCAGGGGGATCCGTCGATGGGCCGGAGGCTTGACTGGGTACTGCAGCGGCAGCCGACTGGGCAGCAGCCAACTGTTGGTTGAGCGGGAGCGGCGCCAACACTGGAATTGGCCGTGGTTGGACCGGTGATAACGGAGGAAAGTTCTGCGCGTTGTTTTCCGGGACCTTCTTGCGACCGGGCTGGTTGTTGGACGAGGCCTTCTTCCGGATCTCGGCGTATTCGGCCCGCTTCGGACAGGCCTTACTCGTGGCCTTGTGGGCAGCACCGCAGTTGGCGCATGTGCGAGCGGCTTCCTCGATGCTGTCGCAGTCGTCGATCTTGTGGTTTTTGCCGCATTTGATGCAGCGGCTGGCCATGCGGCAGTTCCTGGTGCCGTGCCCGAACAATAGGCAGTTCGAGCACTGAGTGACGCCACGGTGGGTGGGTTTATACCGCTCCCACTTCACTACGATGTGGAACAGTGTGCGTGTCGTATGGAGATCCTTCACGGTTGTGGAGTTCTTCTGCAGATGGACCAAGTAGAGCTGGTCACGATACTTGATGGCCTTGCTGCGGGTCATCTTGTGGATTTCGACCGGCTTGAGGCCGTTCGCCTTAATCTCGTCCATTAAGGTGGTGGTGTCCATGTCGTGGAGCCCGCGCAGCACCACTTTCAGCGGCTTGGTGGCCTCGACGTCGTGGGAGAAGTACTCCAGCTTCATCCTGTCCAAGAGGGCCTGGACTGCGTTGTAGTGATTTTCGGCCGAGACCATCAGTTTGTAGCCTTCCGTGCACCGTTGAATGGTGCAGCGAAGGCCCTGCTTAATGTAGAAATCCAGCTGCTCCCATAGCCCGGGAGGGAAGCCCTTCACATAGAAGGGTGGCAACTTAACTTTTTTAGGCACCGTCTCAGGGTCCGACTGCGGCTGGGCTCCGTTCTGCAGGGCGGAGAACGGATTGTTGCTCAGCAGCTTTTTTGCTGCCGATGCGGTGGCGCTGATGTCTTCAGGTCTGGGTCGTTTAGTTCCGGGAGGCCCCGGCTGCGGGTCCGCAACGCCTGTCGGGACGGGCAATGGGGTTTTCTTCTGCTTCTTCTGAGCTGGCTCGGTGGTCGCGCCGTCTCCTGGGAGAGTCTGTTTTCCCGGTAAGCCGGCACTCGCGTTACCGCGCGATTTCTTACCCATGGCTGGGTCAGCGAGAGCGTCACTATACAACGCGGAGCTAATTCGACTTGCGAACGAACGAACGAAACTAGAGAGAATTCAAATCGACTGAACTGCTCAACAGTCTGGCAGCGAATGATGTGATGTTCGCAGATGACACATCCATCGTCTACAAGGGTAGGGTCATCGGAGCTCTGACTGCCAAACTTTAGAAAAGCCTGGACGTCTTGTCTGAATATTCCAACAGCTGGAAGATCCGTATCAACGCGACAAAGACCCAGCTCATCATCTTTCCACACTCTAAATCTCTCAGACTTGTTCCGTCGGAGAATAATAAGATCTGCCTGAATGGTGGAATGGTCGAAAGAGGTAGTCTACCTAGACCTAACATTAGACAGCAAGCTGATTTTCACAGAGCACGTTGAAACCAAGTGCAACATCTTGATAAGATCATTGTATCCACTCATCAACAGGAGGTCTACCCTGTCCCTGAAAAATACGCTTACTGTCTACAAATAAATCATCCTTCCCGTAATAGAATACGGGGTGCCAATCTGGGAGAGTTGCTCAAAAAGCCACCATCTCAAATTACAAAGGATCCAGAATAAGATCCTGAGAATGATCGTCAATAGTCCATCGCGGACTAGAAACTCTGAGGTCCACCGCATGGCTGGTCTTCAGACACTGGAGTTTCGGAGAGCTGACTACATCGCAAGGTTCAGAGATTGCTGTAGGTGATCCGACCAACAGATCATCAGGGATCTGGCACGTTAGGTTAGGTTAAGCAACTAGGTAAAGAAGGTAGAATAACAAATTAAAACATTTAAATCAAACATTCTTCACAAACAGAGAATTATAAAACATCCAAAATTTCACCAAAGATGAAGAGCCCTTCTGGCTAACCTCTTGCCCTGTATTAGCAATTGTAAACCACGAAACAAATCACAAATAAAGAAGAATTTTACTACTTTTACTACTCGCAGACGGCATTCTTGTGACGAACGTTGAAGGCGACGGACGAGCAGCAGCAGCAGTGGAAGCATAGTAGCCGAGATTCGTGTAGCCGTGACCGAGGCTGGGAACGACGGTCCGGTCACGACACTGTGGTGGGTTCAAAACTTGATCCATTACAGCTCTATCTATAGTTACCATGTGTTTGGGCAACCTTGTATGGTTTTAGCGTAATGTAATCGTAACATTAACGATACAATGTTAGAACATATATTTTGCCATACATCTACGCAAATGAAAGCATGAACATTTATTTCAAATTTGAACTAGGCCTCAGGGCTAAAATCTGGATCACTAGTGGCATAACTGGCTCACATACCCTAATATTGGTTCTAGGTTCCAACCGATCAGAACATTTCTTAATAAAGTAGATTGAAGTTTTCAAATCATTGCAGGTTTTTCGGGGTTTGTGTACTTCTTCTAGTTATTGAAAATAAGTTCAGTGATATTCAAGGTAAGAAAATAGTCAACTGCATTATTTGAATCTTATTTGTTTTATTTAATCATTCGATGAAATTCTTCAAATTAACAAACGCGTTAGTAATTTGCAATACTACTGCTTTAATACTTCAATTAATTGGGTATAGTTGATCGAAAAATAAAGGAGATAATCACACCCAACTCTTTCATATGTATTTTAGCTGTTTTAGAATTTTAATACCTATCTCTTCAATTCAAATTTATGCAACAAAAATATTGGATCAGTATAAATTTGTTCAATAAAAAATAAAATAATCGTGGTGACAAGAGTTGGGCGTGAACAACACTAAGAATAAATATCAAAATTTAACGACAAAAATGAGAAGGTGATCCCATCTCCGACCTTTCCTTATTCAATTTGGCGAAGAACTCGCGAACGTCGGTTTCCGTTATAACCTGGCGATTGGTGACGAACGTGTCGAAAAATTCCCGCAAGCGGTCCTTCATGAGATTGAACCCGGACAAAACCTCAACTTGTTGAACACGGTCCATTCGATTCCAGACGGACGTCCCTTGTTCGTTGTTGGATTCGTTTTGTCGCATCACTCGACCGTTTGCTTCGTACCACTTGACGGTGTCCTTGTCGTCCAGAAGGAATTCTGCCTTCAACTCTTTGTAGACGGCCATGCAATCCGAACAGCGACAAAGTTGATTTCGCCAGCCATCGTTCCAGAATGTAGCTCCTTTTTTATAGGCGACTCCATCGCCCTCTTCCAGGGGAGGCTTTGTGCAGATATCAAGCTTTGCACGCTTGGCGGCATTGCCATCATCGTCTACGGCCATGCTCTCCTCAGCTTTTACAGCAGCATCCGCTTCAGCCACGTTCGATTCATCCAAACCGGTCACATTTACCTCCATTGTGTCATTCAGTAGCGGTAGGTTTCCATCTTCGATCTTTACGACATAGTTCCGCAAAAAGCCCATTCTTTGTACGCATCCTCCGCAAATCATCTCCGCAAAACCTTTTGCATCCCTTGGTACATCATCCGTATCCAGATGCCTGGTATGATACCAATCTTCGCAAGCCGCGCACTGAATCATTTCATCTGGCACGTTATCCTCCGGATCGGGATACGGTCTCTTGCAGGTGCAGTAGGACCCAATGAAATTCTGATTGTACTGATTGAGATCGTTCGCGTCCAGCTTAAGCGGATCCAGCTTACAACGAATGTCTGGCATGCGTTTTCCTCCACAATCACAACGGAAATTTCTTTTGGTGTAAAGTTCAATCAGGTCATGTCCTTCGTGGCATTGATACGAGCAAGCTAGGCAAACACCAGCACGCTTATCCTCGTTTACACGGGATTCCGGCATGCAAGTCATACACGCGTATAGTGCCTGCCGGCCGATATAACCCTGAAAAGGCAATTTCAATTCCGTTGAAAATTACAATCCATCCGGTTAATATTTGATGACAAAATTACCTTCGAATAGGTGCAATTTTTATCATCCGAGCCACCCAGTACAGCGTCACTTTCGGCTTCGAGTTCTTCCTGTTCTTTCAGTACATCACCCAGCGTTACCCATTTTTGATCTGCGGTGGTTTGATCGTTGTTTGAATCCATTTTCCTAACCGCAACAAACAATGCATGAGATTAAAATTTAATAAGGTTAATCCAAACAACTTGTGTTCCCCCGAAAAGGTCTCCATCTTGAAATTCCTGCAGCACGCAATAATAATGTAAACTTACCAGTTGCTTATTTTAACTGGAATGCTGATGAACGTGAGGAGCTAACAGGCTAATCCTGGGAGAATTTTGGTCACAGGAATCGAACCGAAGTATCTTCGATTTACCTTAATCCGAATAGAACACTTGCGAGCAGATGAACCTCTCCAGAGTTTCTGACAAAAATCCGCGTAAATGCAAATGTTTTCAACCGAATTGCGCAGGGCTGCTTCAATATCAGTCAATTTGTTTATGTCATTATTTCTGGCAGGCCACCAACACAAGCGGTACTTTTCCTTTTACCGCGCTTTGTAACCATAAAGGTTAGTTCGGAAAATCACAAAGGAATTGCCTTTATAAAAAATAGTATTAATAAACGATAACCCTAGCGATAACCCAAAAAATAGAACTACTCCACAAATGTTTTGGAGCTGAGTGATGCGGAGTCGATCACTTTTAATTTTCAAGTAATTTTGCTTAAAAAATATGCATTTTCGGATGATACTGATGTAAAAAATTGTTTCATTTTGCATTTACTACTCACTCACACGCAGGGCTGCTTCCACTCACTTGCAATAAAAAAAATATTTTTCGGAATTATGCAATCAGTAGATGTTATAATGGTATGTTGTTCTTTAAAGTAACAGGAAGAGGGTGTAAAGTATGTGTTTGACTCATAAAACCTGTCAATTTCGCATTCAGAGCGTCACAATCAGCGATCTTATGATTCGTGAGCGTTCACTCTGAGTGAGCGCCCAAGGCGAACCAGCCAATGGCTGAAAGCCTTGTAAATAAAGAAAAAAAAAAAAAAAAAAAAAAAAAATCTGAGTGAGCGCTCACGAGTCGTAAAATCACTGATTGTGATGCACTGAAAGCAATATTGACAGATTTTATGTGTCAAACATATACTTCATGACCTCTTCTTGTAACTTACAAGTACTAATTAGCATTATACTATTTAATGATTTCGTAATTCCGAAAAACATCTTTTTATAGCAAGTGAGTGGAAGCAACCCTGCTCACACGCATAGAACATCACACTGATAAATTGAACTATTCCCATTTTGCTTGAAATTTAATCAATTTGACATTAAACTCAGTTTAATCATATCGAATGATTAAAAAATAAGCATCTGATATTAATCCCAGTTTAATCATGGTTGATTAGATTGTAGATTATCTTTTTTTGAATAAATTTTAATCATTTAAGATTCTATTTTAATAATTTTTGATTGAATTTTAATCTTTTTTGATTATACATCAGTATTCAAAAAGAATAAAATTTAATACTGGAAAGATTATTTCGATTTTAATCATGCATGACTATTGCCGAAGTAATCATGGCTCGGACTCAATAAGGTGAAGCGGGACACTGCATACTTTTTAAGCTTTTATGATTTAATTTATCTTTGAGTGCAGAAACGAGCAGTAGCTTGTGCCTCGGCTTATGCGAGCCGCACTGATTTCGTTCGTATTATTTTTGCTTTATTTTTTTTATTGTCTAGCTTTAAACATAAATTTACATATTTAAATTGGTATTAACACGGAGAAAAGTATGATATTGCAACACATAAACGTAAAGCATCACGAAAATCCTGTAAATCTGCTGTTGTAAAATCAATTGTTTTACATCTATCTCACTCACCTATTTAAATCGTTAGTGTTCAGTTTTTACGCTTTCAATCGGGTTCTCCCTCGGTAGAGACAATTGTTCGGCAGCTTTTCAGTTTATACTTCTGCCGTCAGTTGCAAAGTCACTAGGTTGGAAAAATTTACACTCGTTCAGCAATCTGTTTGTAGCGTTTGTAGGCGAGGATGGCTATTTTCATTCAGTGGTGATCGCGCGAAGGAATGAATTTTCCCATGTTTGATGATACTGTACCTATCTTATCAGCAAGATGATGGTACGACCATAGAGGTAATTTTAATACCCCGTTCACATTACAGCCTATATCACGTAATATAGGCTGTCTTGCAATGAACACTCTCACATAGTATTTCCAGTGAAAACTAGATGTATGAGTGCTCATTGCAAGACAGCGTACACAGCAAAAAAAAGTTGTTGAATATTACATCGAAACTGCTGCAACTAGGTCTATCCATCGGTTGTGTAATATCACATTGTACGATGTACATCGATTTTGCGAACAAAATTACATCCATTGATGTAATATTGTATCTGCTTTTTGCTATTACATCATTATTTTATACATCAGCTTGAATTACATTGATCGATATGACATTTTTTTTTTGCTGTGTTGCTGCAACCTATCAGCTTCTCCGACCGAAGCTGTTCAAGATGATTATGATCCGTGGAAAACTTGGATTGTAAATCGCTTAGCTCATGTGGCTAAATTTGAACTTGAGTACAAATGCCTAGAAACAATAAACACTTAAAGACTACAAACATAGCTGGGTTGTGTTTTACATTACCTAAAAAAGCAATCTTCAAGTTCCGACCGCTGTTACCTGGGTTTGCCAACAGGAATCGGGATAGCAACGCTCTGATTTTTAAATTTTCGATCTCTCGATGTGTTTACCGTCGATCTTGTTTTCCGTACTGAAGTACCAATGCTACCAACGTCAGGGAGGCAGCTCCCACCCTGAACCCTAGCTAACCGACCCATCAACTCATGGACCGAGGACCAACGGCTTTACTTCCCTTCCGAAGGAGCGTGACCAGAGATTTTATGCCTCAGAAAATCCCGACGGCGCCGACTGGAATTGAACCCAGGCCCATTGGGATGAAAGAGGCAAACACGCTTACCACTACACCACCGGCGCCGCTAAATGCGACTTAAACTTCCACCGGTTGGAGAGGAGTTAATGTGAGGAAAATAAACTTCCTACGTTGAAACTGCATTACTCAAATGCGTGTGCGTTGTAAAGGTTAGAATATCAATACACTGAAAGTATCCCTAATAAAAATAACCATAAAAGAGAGCTTAACGACGTGTTCGGGTTATCATCCAAACCATTTGTGGGATAGTTTACCCATCCGGGATACAGTTCGTTTATGGTATTTATTTATTAGGGACGCCATGCCCTTATTCGGAGATACCGTGCCGATTCAAATTTCGGACACTTAAACTCGAATTTCGGACACTTTTAAAAGTTGATTATCTCGGTCGAATATGATCCACATGTCTTGTAAATTTTAAATTTTTTTGACTAGTGCCCTCCACGATCATCTAACATTATTACTTTGTTTCTAACTGGATGTAATATTTAATTAAAAATGAAAGTGTCCGAAATTTGAATCGTCCGAAATTTGAATCGGAACGGTAGTATAGTTTTGAATTTGAATTTGATACGAAGCAATTAATAAACGTTACTGAAGCGTACAATGATTAAATTTTAATCTGTCCTAGTTTATTGAACAACTCAAAATAGGTAAAAATGTGCCTGCAGTTGGGGAATTGTTCATACCGTGCACACTGTTCCTAATTATTTTGAGTAAGTTTCATCGACCGTAGATTACGTCAGATGACGTTCTATTTTACCACCCTCTGTCAACTGACATCCGAGCAGCTGTCAATATAAACACATCTGATTGGTTCAAGTTTTGACAGCCCCATTTCTCACGTTTCGCATGCATATTTTTCCCGTTCGGTTTTCTTTCTTCAGCAGCAGATATTGTTCAGTTTGTGAGTGGATTTCGTACGGTTCGGTCGTATAAACACGTATAGTGCCGTGTTCAAGCAGCTTCTAGTGTGGTGTTGTCTCTTTCTGGCTCAGGCGTGCAGTGCAGGGAAGAGGAAAATATTTTTCAAAAGTCAGTGACTGGGCGAAAAGAAGAAAATCTTGCATAAGTTTTTCGCCTTCGGAAAGCCCGTTTTCGGGTAAATTCCTGTGTGATTTCAAAGGATTTTGTGCTACGGTTCAAGGAATACCAAATCTGTGAACGGTAGGTAAAATAACGATGGTAAAAATTTTGATTGAAATTTTTATGGATGGAAAAAAGCAAAAGAAGGAGCACCAGAAGCAGCAGCAGCAGCAGTGGCACCAATAATGAAGAAAAAGCAAAAAAGGTTATTAATGAGAAGTGAGAAACCAGTGTATTACGACAGTGAGTAGTGATACGTCAAAATGGACGTCGAGTGACGATGGAGAGGAAAAGCAGGCTGCTGTACAATTTTTCCTTTATTTTTTGCACGAGCTTTGTTTTTCTTGGTTTGGTGGTTCTCTGCAAATGATGTCCCATCACAACAACATCCACCTCACGAGGAAAATTTTCCACGCGGCTGTTGGTCCCTCCCACCACCAACCGTTGAGAGATACCTATAGGTCGAAATATTGCGTTTTCGTCTGTGCTGAACGATCTGTTTTTGTTTTAACTTTTGCAGGTCACTTGCGTAAACAGCAATCTTTTGCGCTTTCGCGAAAATACGAACGTGTCAATTTTCGATTGTCGAAAGAAAGAACAAGGAACTGAATGGTTTATTTACAGCCAGCGCATCTCCTGGTAACACAATAATTTGTAATTTGTAAATTTATTGTTGTTTTATTGGTTACGATCGCATGTTAGTATAAACTCTGTATCAGGTCAAGTAGAATTACAATAAGATCAAAAAATCTAAAGGTGTTGTGCTAATCGTTTGCTTTGTTTTTCGGGCGAAGGTAGAAATATTGTCATTGTTTTAATGAACTCTGAATTATTGATTTTTTACCCGGCCACACAGGTTAAGGGTCAAGGGTGATTGGTTTAGATTATTCAATGCAGCGTTCAGCTCACTTGAACTGTGATATGAACGACCAGAAAGCTGGTTGATGTCGGACTTGCTCTATTCGGTGTCAAGTCAATTAAACGCCGACTATCAGATTGGGCTTGAGTTGATTCAGCTTACTTAAACCGTGGCCTTTATTTGCTGTGTTTCGAGCGGAAAATTTCTATCATGTTTGTAATTTAATATATTACACAGAGGGATTCTATTCCTGTCAACCATGGATATGGATGCATCGCAGATCCCATGATTTTGACATTTTTGGGCAAACCAAAAATCTTATTCTTTAACATTTGCATCGCAGTGCTGAACGCTAGAAAGAATAGTATGTTGCATTCATCTTAACCCCTTATATTCATCACATTCATGTGAGCTACGACGAAATGCCCCCGTGATATTACAGGTATACCTCAATATAACGTAACTGTCACTTTTGACTTTCATCGCCGATTTCTCGCAAAACGATCATTCAATCAAGTAAAGTAGTAACATCATCGGACAGTTGATTGATTGATTTCCTTTATTTAGAAGATTTTCAGCTGCAGGCTGGTTCATCTCCGATCTATTGGTTCATCCCCATTTATTGGTTATGCCAATACTACCGACTCCAAGCAGGAAACTCCCACACGTGGACCCTACTCATGGACTGGGGACCAACGGTTTTACTTCCCTTCCGTAGGGTATTGTATTGTAATGTAATTGATGTCAAAAAGTGGATTATTGTTATCACAACGAGATCTCGTTTTTGACAACACAACTGCTTCATCTAAATCAGGACCTTTTTCGATGCGTCACAATTGAGTGCTAAAATAGCGTTACAATAAGAATCATCAATATCTCTTAAATAAAGTATAAAAAAAAAAGAATCAATGCTCCTATAAAAAAAATATTTTAAAACATTTCCAGATAATTCAAAATTTCGTGTAAGCAAAATCGAGATTTTTTCGACTTGTGCTAAACTGAAGTACTATCACTGCCTAGCGTGTAATTTCATCAAATTTAGCATAATTTTTGAAAAACTATATCTATGAAAACGAATACTACGTTGCGAAAATCGAGATCCATCTGTATAGTGATTTTCATCCAATCAACATCATAATTTATAATATGCCTACATTTGGATTCTTTTGATTCACATACTCGACATCAGTCCCTGAAAGCTAAGGTAGGGGAATTTACGTATTCTCGTCAATCTAAGCAGTGTCCACACTTCTATTAGCATTTTCTCAGCGTCACGCACATATATGACGTGTCTGTTGGTTTACATTCATTTGCTGCTTGCTTCTCTATCCATTTTAATCGACAGAATTCTTCAAAACTGTTTGAAAGCGTTTTTACAACGCTCCAAACTTCTCAGGTGAGTGTGACTATTGTCGGCAGCCTCGTTTTCTTCGGCAACCTTCCCATTAGAACTGCGTGTTAACCAGCTGTTCTATTATCGGCAACTTGAAATCAACCCCATTTTAGAGTACGTATGCTTCATTCGAATAAAAATCTGCCATAACAGGACTGCTCAGACGTACACATACAATCAGATTGAAGCTGAAAGACTAAAGAATCGTTTGGATGCATTCAGGGAAGTGTGTTGATGGGAAAACATAGTGAAATTAACGTTTAAATTTTGGTTGCCGAAAACAGTCAATGGGTGCCGAAGCCGACATTTACCCTATGTTCGAATGTTATGACAGTAAAACAAATTTTCCCGTTTGTAGTTTATATCATCAACCCATTTTTGACATTGTGTGCTATAACTTTCTGAAATTACAACCAATTTTTGAAAAAAAAAATTGCAGCATAGTGTGTACTAGTTCATCAAGACACTTCAGAGAAACCTTTTTTTACAATTGAATTTGCCAAAACACTCTGGGTTAAACTACAAACACTATTAAATTAATTGTTCATGCATTCATTTTTTTTGTGTCTTGTTATATATTGTTTGACGCCCTCCCCCTCGACCTATTTGAGTGATGTCGAACATAAAATGCAAATAATATTTGCCTTAATACATTACTGAAAGCGGACTTGCATTCCTTTCCCAAATTTCAAGATTTGTTTGTAATCGCATCCAATATATAATGTTTGATGATATGATATTCTTTCGAATCGAAAGATTTCCTCATGATATCTGCTATTCAGAACTGAATATAATCGGAACACTAAACAAGTTGAAGCACCCCTTTCGAAACTTGAGCTGAAACCAACCAAAGCAACTTTTTGCTGTTTTATCCAATGTAGGTAATAATTTAATTTATGATTGAACACGCAACTACTTGGGCACCACTCGAGATAACACGAAGTTACGTAGGCCTATATCCTCACATTTCGATTTCAACCGTCAGCTGAAATCGGAAATGGACGACGTAAGAAGCGGAGAAAAAAATCACTGAAGCCAACAAAAGTTCAATGAGAGTTCAAAAATCAAGTTTATTACGCTACTTGCTGCTCGTCGACCGGCCATTCATCCATCATCACCAGGCCGTAAAGAATGGCTGAAATTACCACACAAAAGTCGCATTTCATTAAGAAGACTATTGCGCACCGCCAAGGAAACAGAAATGGAAACAAAACCTAGCACAAGGAATCCGAGACATTGAAGGTAATTTCTTTCGCTCGAAAATGATTCACCCAATCTCTACAAAAAGCGAAAGGAAGCAACTGGTAGTCGGATACAAACGGATCCATGTGCCCCGTGGATGGCCATCGTAACTCGGGGCACGCGCTTGCTGTGCGGTGCGCTCTCTTCCGGAACATGGAGAAATCATCGCACTCACCTCACACACATGGCCGCGGCCACGAAGCCAATATTAAATTCGGAATCACTTATGTACTTTACTTTTGCGCTCACTCTGCTGATGGTATGATGGTGGTGCACTGTTTTCTTCTTTTTCTTTTTGCCCAGCTCCGTCTGATGGATGAACAGTTGAACGGTTGCGCAACTGTTGCTGCTGCTGCTACCCATCGTGTAGCAAGATGAGCCACTGCATGTGCAATTATCCATTACATACCACCTTTGTGTCGGCTCGATCGGCGGAGAGCACCAGGTTCTCCATACAAACAGTATATTTTTATTGTTGAATTTCATTACACTCAACTGCAGCTAGCAGCTCATGTTCATTGTTGAAAAATATTATCGTAGAATGGAGTATCTTTGATTGTACCTGAGTTCGATCGAGTAGTTTTTAAATAAAATATATGCCGGCTAAAAGCTAAAAGCGGCCTAAAGAAACGGGTGATTTCTATACTATTTATTAATTATATGTATGTAAATTAAGGTGTCTTAATTTTTCTGGAAAAAACATAGAATTCTCAGAATATTTTAGGTTTTCAAACTCTTACCAAGAAAAAATTGAGAAAGTTTTTCGTTTCGTTATCGTTTCCGTTATTTTTCTTACCCATTGCATAAAATAATTGTTAAGCATTCTTGTTGAATTAATCTTACTGGATCTGTTTTGATTTATGTATTTTCACCTCATTAAGGGACATCCATAAATGACGTAGGGCATTTTTTTTTTCTATTTTAGAATCCCGTCAGCTCGGGTATTTTGCTATATCTAATCATGGTTGGTCACATCTTCCGAAACCAACCCCCTCCTTGAGCTGCGTCATTTATGCATGTTCCCCAACCTAATCGAGTAAAATTCATTAAAAAAAAATGAATTAAAGTTTCCTAGGTGATCACAGTTATTTAGGATAAATATTAAAACACTTAGGTCGTAGAGTTCTCTGCATCTCTCTAAAGTAAGTGTCCAACAATCCTTCCCATCCTCAGCAGTTGTAAGCACGTGGCCAGGACAGTTCTCGATTGTTGGAGATATTGCTATTTCCATCTAAGAGGCCGACTTCAATCCCAAATTTTGGTCAAAATTGTAACGGACTGAGGTGACAATACTCTCAAACAATGGTCTAGAACTTGTACCACCTACGAATGTGTGCAACTTGGTTAATGCGAATGCGAACTCTCGATCAACAATTGAAAGGGTAGTTCAGTGCCGCCGCGGTATCGTGTGGCGAATTCGTATCCAGGCAGACTTCCAAACAATTCAATCGGAGCAGAACAATGTGACCACCAGAATGCATGCCCGGAAGCTTTATGACCTGGTGCTAATGAAATTCAAGGGATATTCCTCATGGACCATGAAACCTAAACATGAACGCCGACTTCAGACAGCTTTGCTTGGCAACGGCTCGGGGAGATGTTCCT